GATTCTATTGAGAGGGTTACAATTCTTTATGCACATGAAAAATGTTTGTTTTACCTCAGTATTTAAGGAAACTTTCTTTTACAAGGCACTCTTCGACTGAGAGGGTTGCAATTTTTGTTCGCCAAGAAAAAATGTCGTTTCTTTCATGGATTATGTTTAAAGGGCCAACCAATAACTACTTACTACTTATCAAAATCTGGTCCTCTGTAGTACTGGAATTACGTAATTACTTTAACGAATTGACTTTTAAATGACATTCGCCTATGGTACTGAGAAGGTAACAATTTTTGTTGTACATTAAATAGTTTTTTGTTGTTGATTGTGTTTAAAGGGTACAATTTTTAAACAGTTTTTTTTCCTTTGATTTGTTGTGTTTAGAGGGCCGACCACCAACCCTTAAAACACCCTATATAACAGAGAATGAACATCCCTTGCTTGATTTAACTGATCTGCATTTCCTACTGCAAACTTTTCTTATACCAAAAATCCCTTCCTACCTTTCGGGGTAAGGGGTAATCTTTTTTTACATTTCATAAATGACAGAGATTTTATACTTAAAACTGAAACTAAAAATTATTGCATATTTATATTATTGATTCTGGATTTCTGTTTATTCTCGTCCTTTGTTTTCTATCGTGATGCCCAGGTAGGTACTTAAAGCTCGTAACTGGTTCTATTTTTTTTCGTGCAACGTCAGGTATTTCCTTGTTTCGAAGTCATTTTTGAAACCTCTCGCCACTATTCTCCTTTTTTCCTTAGTTCTCTTATACTTAGCCCCATTATTTCTTTGCATTTGGTACTCTAAATATTTAACTTCTCTCACATCTCCTATTCTTTCCTTTCTCCATTTCAATTCTATCTCTCTCATCATCTTCCACTTTTCTACATTCCAACTCCATTCCTTTCCATTCTCGATACTTCTCATAATTTCCTCATCAGTTCTACCCTTGGTTCTACCTCTGTTGCCATTATCCGCGTATGCCAGGGACCATATCTTCTTCTTCCTTCCACCTTTGACCTTGGCCTTGTCTAAATACTTTTCCATGTCACTTATGTAGAGTTCATACAAGATTGAGGTAAGTGGGCATCTCTGTCTTAGTCCTTTACATATCTAAAATACTTCAGACTCCTTCTCTTTTATTCTTACTCTCAATCATGTGTCTTCATATAGTTCCTTGATTCTGTCCTCTACCTTCTTGTTTTCCCATCTTCCATATTTTATTTTCCCTTTCCACACTGTCACATGCTGCCTTTAAGTACATGAAAAACGCCCTTTTTTTAAATTACTTTTTCGCCAATCTGTATAAACCTATATACAGTCGATTGTCCCATCCTTTTCTGAAGCCCATTTGTGTGTCTTCCAAAACCCGGCCATTTCATATTAAGCGGCAGAGCAAAGCGATGCAAGCTTTATAGGGGAGTCGATGGTGTCCGTCTGTCCGTGAACACGATAACTGTTCAAACTTTGCACAGTTGACCTATATGCCACATGTAACAAGCCAATTGAAAATGGGTCAAATCCAATGACTCCCTGGAGTCACAGCGAGGTGCTCTGCCGCTTTTTTAAACGCTCTTTATGGGTTTATTCTAATCTTTAATTCAGTACCATTGTGTAGATTATATATACGCCGTCATAACTATCGTGATTCCATTATAATTTTACACATAATTTTTATCACCTCTTTTGAAAGTCGGTACTACTACCCCTTCCGTCCGTTCTTCTCCTTTCCATATACTATTTACTGGATTCCTCATCCTTTCCTTGACCCCATCTTTAGCGAAGCCCCATTTCCTGTTTCGTCTCTCCCTATACCGGTTTCTTTCTCTTCAGTCTTTTTAATTGCTGCTCAATCTCCTGCTCTCCTTTAATCTCCTCTTTTCATACCTCTTTCATGGCCTTCCCTTCCTTCTGATTTGAAGTACCTCAATAAAATGTTTTTTTCGTTCCTCTAATTGTACTCCCTCCCACCCCCACTGGTTCTATTTTTCTTCTATTTATCACCTTCCAAAAATCCTTCTCTATCTTTATTTCCCTGATTCGTATTCTTTCTGTTTCTTCGTCTTTTTTTCTTTACATTTTCTCTCGTAGGTTTTTTAGTGTCTTGTAGAATAATTTTTTGTCGTGGTCCGAATTTTTCCCACGATTTTCTTTTCGCCTCTATTACTACTTTTTTGACTCTTTCTCTTTCCGCTTTATACTCCTTGTAGGAGGTATCATTTTTCCTGAATAGGTGCTTCTTCGATTTCTCTTTTTTAATTCTAATTTGTAGCTTAATTTCCTCGCTCCACCCTGTCTGTTTCTTTCTCGTCTCTATTTTTGCTGTGTCGCCTTCTTGTCTGGCCGTTTGTTTTAGAATATTTTTGAAACCTCTTGTGTTCATAGAAGCTGTTGCAATTATTGGATGGTTCTCTCTACAGATGTCGGTCTTTCCATTATTATTTCTAACGCCTTCTCCATTTTCCTAAAACATCCCTTGCTCGTCCGTCACTTTTACCGACCCTGCCATTCAGATCCACTAGGATAATGTTGGTCCCCTCGCATTAATTCATGTTCTTTACCATTGAGTCCTCTTATATTCCATATCCATGTAGCCAACTTCCACCCTCTTTGTTTTTTTTCCTCCTTTCTAGCCTTTGTTCATCTTTGTACCTTTCTCTGTATTCTTTTATTGCGATCGTCGTCAACTGATTCCTGTTCAGCTGTGGTGTGGTTAGTTTTTTGGCCCCACCAGTTCTTCCGTACCTCTATCCCAGACCCATACCTTTCCATCTATGATTAGCTTCTGGTATTTGACAGTTATCTTTGTCTCGGCGGTTTTCTTTTCCTTCGCGATGTTTTACTTGCACTTCTCTTTCTCCGTGCGTCAGATCATATCTATATATATTTAGGAGTTCCTCACTTTGTTCTTATTCTTCCTTATTTCCTGCTTCTTCTCCGCATTTTCTAGCTGCACTAATACCATTGGCTTGTTTTCCTCTCTTAGTTCTTTCATTTCTTTTTTGTATTCGCGTTGCTCGTGTCATATCATTCGTCATCACCTTCATATGTTTTTGAGTTCACCCATCTCTGTTTCGCTGCAGATCTATTTACTGAAAAATGTCTCCCTCTCTATTGAGACGAACTTGGGGTAGTACACGCACAGTCAGTGAACTTTTAAAATTAAAGAATCATTAGCGGAATAATAATTTCAAATTAATTAAAAGAAAAATAAGTATAACTATAACAGGGATAGAAATAGAAAATAAGGATGGCAAGTTGACAGAAGAAAGCGAAATATTGGAAAAATGGAAAGAATATATATGGAGGAATTATATTAAGCCAAGAACAAACCAACACAGCTGACAGTGGAAAGCGTAGACGAAGTAGAGAATGGCAACATCGAGGAAGGCATTCTTTCAATGGAAGTAATGGCATCCATAAAAGAAATGATGGATGCAAAGGCAACAGGAGTCTGCAAGGAAAAGGGTTGGAGTCAAAGAAAAAATAAAATCTACGAAAGTGGACTATGGCCAGAGGACTTTCTTTGTTCAGAAATGGTGTCTGTACCTAAAACGCATGGTACAAGAAATGATCAGAATATAGAGCAATCAACCTATTGGCACACAAACAGCAAATATGTTATACTGAAAATATTGAATCGCAAAGTTATGGAGGAGCATAGGAGAGGAATAGTTTGGTTTCAGAAGACAAATGGGCCCGAGAGACGCAATAGGAGTGGTGAGAATATCGGCCAAAGATATTTGGAAAAAGGATAGATCTACTGTGTAGCTTTTATTGACATTCTAAAGGCATTCGATTGGGTAAACTGGAAGAAACTGTTGGAAATACTAAAGAGAGTATGGCCCAAGAATTAATAGGAACAAAACGATGAAAGTGGGAGTGCAGGTGGATATAACAGTAATGGTAGACGGAGTGTTGATAGAGCAAGTGGAAAGATATAATTATTTAGGTACAGAGGTAACGCAAGGTTGGAAAATCAGAAGAGAAATTAAGACCAGGATAGCGATGGCAAAACAAGCATTTAATAGTAAGAGAAGGATTTTATGCAGTGAGATGGAGATTGATTGGAGGGTTCTAATGTACGATAGTGAAACGTGGACAGCAATAAAAAGAGATCTGGAAAAGTTGGAAGCTTTTGAAATGTGGATATGCAGAAGAATCAAATGGGCTGATAAGATAAGTAATGTAGTATTAAGTGAAGAAACGAAAAGAAGTAGAGGAAGGAAATTGGTTGACGACCTCAAGGAGAGAGAAGAAGGATATGACGCAGTGAAGAGAAGAGCAGATGATAGAGTCGTGGAAGAGAGCCATCAGGGACTTGCATTAACAGAAAGATGATGATGATGGAAGATAACCTATGCCCTATGATCAGCTAAGAATAATTAATTATTAAATCGATTAATCAGGCAAAACTGTCCATTTTATATTCGTTAATTTATTAGTGTATTGTAAACTGAATACTTCGCTTATATTAATTCAATACTCTTCTAAGGGGGGAAATGGTACAAATCTCGAGACCTACAAAATTGTATGCAAATTTATCAAGAAGCGACTCTTTATATTTGTAGATTCAGAGCTACTAATTTGCAATTTGATGAGCCATGTTTACGCCAACATCTCAGTCATCGTCTAACAGTTTCTAAACGATGTTTGTACTCGGCTATCTTCACTTTCGAATATTACAAAGGTGATTTCGGTAACGCTCTAAATTTGTTACTTTGATAACATGATGATGAATGTCCTTTTTCATTAGTCATATCGTTAAAAATGTTTTCTGTGAAGCGGGTTATCAAATAGACGATTTTTAATAAATAGTTTTTGGACCGATGACACAGACCGGTAGTTTTGGATACAAAGCTTGAATCTCTTATCGATGTCGATTAATTAATTATTGTTATGGCATTAGTCAAAATAATACTTGTGACTATCGCCTTGGATGGAAAATTTATCACTGTTAATGACCTTTAGAAAAAATACAATTATTTTTTTTTTGTTGCAGATGATTTATATATTAATCTTCGCAATTCTTCTACTGCTTGGGATGTACCGGTTGTTGCGCTCTAAGAACTTACCACCAGGACCGTGGGGCTTACCCGTTCTGGGTTATTTACCCTTTCTCGATCCCAAAGCTCCTCACGAAACGTTGACGACGCTCTCACGCAAATATGGCAAAATTTATGGCCTGCATCTTGGCAGCGTTTACACCATCGTACTTTCGGATGCGACGGCCATTTCATCGGCTTTCTCAATGGATAAGCTTACCGGAAGGGCGCCACTTTATCTAACCCACGGGATTATGGGTGGCTATGGTAAGCATTTTGTACTCACTACCCTGTTGGGTTGCAACAGAAATGTAACCCTTCACCTTTGAACGTTAAACTCTACGGCAATCGCTATATGTAAGTCGGGTCGAAACTTAACAAAAAAAAAACGAGTTTATAAGCGGTAGCAGTTTAATTATGTTAATGTAATGGCGATTAACGTGCCGGTTCCCCATCCGCATATCATTAGTATTGACGCAAAAACCAAATTTAACATAACATATGGATGTTAGATATATCTTGATGGTGCTAGTAAATATAACTAATTATGTACGCGTAATTAATTATCTTTTATTGTACCGCATTAGCGTAATGAGAAAAGGTGTGAACTGTGAAATTCTTTTGTATTATATATTTTAGCTTGTCAGGCAATTGTTGTGTGCTTCCCATCTTGCAAAGATGAATTGGCGTTAGTTAATTTTGAAAAACTAATAGGTGTATGTTAATTGGTAACATTTTTTGTTTATGGGACACAACATTGTTCGACAACAATTAAAACAAAGTCTATGTGTTCTTTAAAATGATATACATAGAAACTTATGAGTATAGTCATTATTAAGTGGCAGAGCGACGCAACCTTTTTGGGGGGGTTGATGGTGTGTGCCTGTGAGCACGATAACTGACAAACGATTCGGCCCATTCGGTTCAAACGTTATAACAATCTCAAAATGAGGGACAGACAATTCAGAAGAAGTTTAAAATGTTCAAGTGAAATTTGGCAGCATTGTAGAAGTCTTTAAAACGTATTCAAACAGATTCTAGGAGAAGTACTATTACTTCCCAAATCCTAAACAATAATAAAAATATAAGACTTAATAATTCAATATTGATCTAAAACGACCCTAAATCATTTTTAAAATTTAAGTTTTTGTGAATTATTTTTTAATTTTTAAAATCTTTTTTAATCTTTTAACTTTCATTACGCAGACAACAATAAGAACACGTGGTTAATCAAATTTCCGAACAATCAGATGTGCCCAACCTAAAGCATCTCATCCAAATTGAATAAATCACAAAAGCGATTAAATTTAAAAAATACAAACAATTCTAAAAGGAAAAATATAGACACTGAGACAACAAATTCAAATACAATAAACCAACTCTGTGCTTATTCGTCTATAATCACCCAGATTTACATTTAATAAAATGAAATATGCTCATTTACAGGGTGTTCCGTCATTATTTTTGGTGTATACATTACGTTTAAGTACATTGAGGCCACCGTGACCTCTTTGGTTATCGTGATTGTCAACAAAAATGAAAGAATTTGTAGACGGAAGGAAACCCCAAACCTGCACCCCAATTGTGTTAACTTATGCAAACCCTTAAAATACGGCCGGTATTTCGACAATTTTTTGTCAATTACGGGATTATAGCTATGGTCTGATTTTTGAATAAACACTGTAATCAACTGATCGCTAATCGTTATTTGAAACGCTCGCTTTAAACTTTGGAGTTATCCAGCTGCGTTATCTTTATTTTTTGCAGAAGGTCATCTCCGTTTAGTTCAATAATCAAAGTTATGTTACACTCGCCACAATCAGGAAGTGAGTACTTATATTTTGGTATGCAGGATAACAGTTTAAAATTTTCCTCTTTTTTAGCGCATTTCCACAAAAATAAAAAAAATGCGCTATTGTGGCCACTTTGTCCGTCCGTCCGTCCGTCCGCTCATTTTGCGACGCTACTACTTCTTTATCTTAAGAGCTATTGTTCTACTTTTTTCGCTATTTGGTTTGTTATGGTGTCGAGTCTTGTACCAAGGAAGGAATTTTTTCTGTACCGCTTACAAAAAAAGTTATTGTAAAAAAAACAAAAAACCGTTTTTTTTACATGTTCCATAATTTTACACTTTTGCCGTTTATTAACGATCCTAGAGATCGTTTATAATTTTGCATTGCTATCTGTCGTCTGCATGCTGGTCTGTCCGTCTGTCCCTTTGTCTGTCTGTCCATCTATCTGTCCGTGTGAACAATAACTTTGTTTAGAAATGTTCGATCGCTTTTACATCTCCGTTAGTTATGAACTGAATTGCATGAAATTCAATATGGGCATAGATTTAGCCATATAATACGCAATGCCAAGAGTTGAATCGAATCGATTCAAAATTCACAGTGCCCTTTTCGCATCTCGACCATTTATAAACCGAATTGCAAACTTTTTTACTTATAAAAGTATTTGAATGAAATTTGATACATAGGCACTTTGAATAAAGGAAAATCAAACGCCAATTTCAAAATTTGGTTTTGCGCATGCGCAGTGCCAACTTTTTTATTTATGGAAGAATTTAAATGAAATGTGATACATAGGCACTTGGAATAAAGAATCATCGAGCGCCAGTCTCAAAATTTTCTTTTGCGCATGCGCAGTGCCACCTTTTTTATCTATGGCACCATTTAACTGAAATTTGATACTTAGGCGCTTGGAACAAAGGAAAATCTAACATTAGTTTTAAAATTTAGGTTTGCGCATGCGCAGTTCCAACTTTCTTATTTATAAAAGCATTGAAATGAAATTCTTCTCATAAACTGAAATTGAAGTAACACGTCAAAAATGGATTGCCCATGTGCAACGCTATCTTTCATATTTGTGGCCGGAATTTTACGATTTTAACAGAAGTTGCATCTTATAAATGGGAAATGAATGCAAGTGGAAATGCGCTTTATGTAAATCGTTTACGATTACTTTTTAACTTGTTCCTTTTATAACTGGCATAGACTACAAAATCAGTGAATCATATTCATACTTCCCAAAGTGCAAATTACATGGCTCTTCACATTGCCCCATGGTCTCCCCATTTTTCTTTAGTATCACCGGAAAGCTCACCCTGTAGTAACATAAGCGATGATTATTCTACCTACAGCAACTTTAATTACTTTTTCCGATTTTCATTAGGTACCTTTGCCGCCCACTTCTATTGAACTAGTTTCAATAGAATGAGTAACAAGCATTTTATTATAACGCCTTGGTACCGCAACGCAAATATTTGTGGTTTGAGGTTTTTTTTGCGGATCGACCACAAGATCTAATTTTATTAACGCGCTGATAATAGCGTAATGTCTTATAATTTACATTAATAATTTGTTTAGAATGCAATAGAAATCGACACATATTTTTTATTTAATAATCTACACCGAATTTCTATTACCTACCTATAAGTGCCGTGATTCGGTAAAAAATTTGATGGTCATTAACGAATAGCTACTATTCAGCCTCTCATCTTTTTGATTTTAGTGGGTTAGTGTGTCAGGGTGTTACGTCAATGTATTGTTTTTGTGCGTACAGACGATTTACCTGTAATTTTTTACCAAGAGAGTGCGACTCCCAAATTAAAGAAGGGCGGTGTGAACAATTGAAATTCGCGAAATGATTAAAGGTAACCTTAATGACGATAATTTAGCGAATATATGTCTCGATGGCATGTGTGTAGAAAACGTTGCGAAATATTCAACAGGAACTAAAGAGCGGTTGTAAAAAATATGCTCATTAGTAAAAGTTGTGCAAATTTGCACTCATCTTCTACAATTTATTTATGCGCTTTTTTATTTCAAGTCTAATTAGAAATTGCTGTTTAATGTTTATTATACAATGCTTCCTACTTTGTTAGTAGGATGTCCTGAAATCAATTCATACTAAAAGCTCGATATCCAAAATGGCTTGTTTGAGCTATGATTCGATCATCAATGTACCGGGTGTAAATCGAAAAGTGGAACATAGGCGTTTAACATGGGGAATTACTTTTTCTTTGCGCAAACAGTTTCCTAATTATTTTACGCAAAAATACTTCAAATAAAAGTTATAGAGTATAAAGTCTGCATCTAAATCATGTGAAACGATTATTCTACCTCTTCTTGTACGCGAAAAAATTAATTATAAAGATTCTGTTTTCACGAGTTTTTAGTTTAAGTTGCCATGGACTATGTTTTTCTTTTATCATAGACTTTTAATCCGGCTCGGAGAACTCGTAGAAATCGATTGACGAAGGTTTGAGCTTTTGATTTCGCTGTTTCTTTTCGTTCTCGAGTTACACGAGGAACAGACGGACAGACGAACAAAACCATCACATAAGGGAATTTTTTTCTATCGAAAGATTCCCCTAAAAATAACTACAGATTATCAACATTAACAAAATGAAAAAAAGGGTTTCGCCTTTGGGCGAGTAACTTTAGCGCATTTTCGATGAACTGTCAGTACTTCCCAAAAGGTCATACAATGGTCTACTTATGTGTACCAAGGAAAATAGTTAAGGCATAAAATAATATTCTCTTATGTATGTTTAAAATAGATACTAGAAGCATCGGTGGTAAAAAATTCAAAAAATATCTATAGGTATAAATAAGAAAGTTGACATTGTGCACAAAATGACCCTGCAGCTCAAAACGAATTTCGTTTTTTGATTCTACACACCAAATTTAGTAAACATACAAGTTTTTGTTCATTTCGGAAATTTTTCTAAAATTTCCTTTCTCCCGACATAGGTACAGGGTTCTGCAACAGTGCGTAGGTTTTTCCTAAATATAAACAAATCTTATGTCCATATGTTAACTGTACAGTGATATTTTTTAAGAAGTAGACATACAGATTTCCGTGTATTGCTTTTCCCCATGTCTACTTTTAAAAGGCAAAGTCTCTTCTGAAGTGCCCCTAATTTTGTGCAACCAAAATAACGTCTTAAAACAAATAAAGAGCTGGCTGTCATATTAATTAATCTAAATATTATTGCTTTGGTATCCGTATTTTTATTTTCGTTCTGTGTGCGATGTATTCAACTGAAAAAAAAGTTGGTATTGTGCGATATTCTTTGGGTGCATAAAATTAGGCACCCTTCAGTAGGGATTTTGTCATTTAAAAGTAGACGTAGGGAAAACCATACACAATTATATATACCTACTTCTTAATAAATATCACTGTATTACGCATCTACAGAAATTATTGTTGAATGTGCAAGGTGTCCCATTTTTACGGTGTCAATAAATAACTATTTTTTT